TGTCTTAAATACACACGTGTAAAGTGTCATGACTGCATCTTGCACGATTGTGACGCTATGGTGGTGACAACATCTGTCCACAGACATATAAACACACAAAGTACTGAAAGCTGCCTATCTGGTAATTCCAGCTTCAGTCTGATACGAGCACGACAGAGCACGGCCTGCAGCATGAAGGAGATAAAATGTCAGTAGAGGAGGGAGGGGAGAAGATCACAGCACATGTTGTGTTGTCTTTCCAGCAAATGACATGACTGTCTAAGAAACACTTTAAGATCATATAAAGAAGCCAAAACAAGCATTTTAAAACACACAGCAGATATCTGTATGAATTGACTGAACAGACATGGATGAATATCTTACTCTTATGCATGTAAAGTAAAGAAAAACAGTAAGACAGATGATTCATTTCAAAAGAAGACACAGGGTCATGGTTTACTAGAACTGTGAGTACAGTAAAGACAGACTTGGATCAGTGTAACACCAGCTCCTCAACATTTCCTTCAACATGTGCTGGTGTGAGAATAACCCTTATAAAAGGCAGAAAGAATCCTTCTTGTATTCAGCGAGCAGCTCTGACACATTTCTGTCTGGGTAGAGCTGAGGGATGAAGTTAAACTGCAGCAGGATCAAGTAACAGGACACACGATGAATAAAGAAACATTCACTCTTCTCACAAAATCATGACAGCTTGACATAAATGTTTAAAGGATCTATAAAAACGTTACATTCTGTGTGGTGGAGTGGAGCTACAAATAATCAATTTGATTTTTCCCAGAAAACTGAACTCATAATTACTAAGGCCATGAAGCATCTGGGTGATTTTGATGATTGAGGCTTTAAGGCAATAACATTGTTAACAGACTAAAATGATGCTTCCATTTAAAATAAAGTGGAGGCTTGCTATCGATTAAAGCAGAGTGTAACAGTTTATGTTTGGTCAAGGCTACTCTACTTGCAAAGCAATTAATTTAGAGCATCAGGAGGCCATCAGGAGGCCATCAGTCTGCGCCTGGCTCCTCACTTTTGCTCTGCTCCACGCTGCTGAAGTGAGTGGCCAGCTCCTTCACCACTGCTGTCCTGCCCAGGTGATCGTTCCTCCTCTTCTCCATGATCATGTCCTCCAAACTCTGAAACTCCAACACGTGTGAGTGTTTCTCAGACATGAATATTTTCAACCTGTACGGCTGCTTGCCTATCCGGATCTCCCCACCCATTTTGAACTCCCTTTTGCCAAACCTGCACCAGGCGGCAAACCCCTCTGAGTTCCTCCAGCTCAGCTCTCGGTCCTTTAGCCCCACTTGCTCCATCGCGTTCTGCACCACCATGTCCGGACCCAGAGCTTTGAATTTGTACAAGTCGTTCACAATCCTACACCTCCTCCCTTGACTGGCATCTGTTAAAAAGCTGTTTTTCACCTCGGCTCTGTGCAGGTGCACCACCTGGAAGTCCCCCACGTACACAGCCCAGTGCGGGAACTGACCGGTGGCCACAAACTCCACCAGGTCCCCTGCTTTGCATTTGTTCAGTAGATTCTCCGGGGAGTAAACCTCCAGGTTGGCAGACTTGACGCTCTTCTCGTAAATGCACTCATCTCTGTAGTAGACGGCGCACTCCACCTCGTCGCGCGGATCGTATTGTTTCTCTTCCTTATTCGGGTCCTTATCTGAGCCATCGACCGTGCAGCCTTCCTCCAGCTCGTCGTCGTCGTTGGAGAATATGTAAGAGACACCGATCCGTGGACCTTCCTCCGTGTCCACGCCGTTAGGGTCCACCGTGGGAACTTCTGCGTAACTTAAATGTGACAGCTTGTCCATCTGGTTGCCCATGCCGCTGCTCCCCCGGTGAAAGCCTGTGTAATACGATCTGATGTCAGGCTACCGGTCGCCAAACATCACCACAATCTGCCACACAACCTCACAGGTTATAACTTCCCTCTCCCTGCCGTTGGACAGGGTTTTATCCAAATTACGCATAAGTGTATATCCGTGGTGTGGCTAATTGAGTAGCTTGTTGTTGCCCCATCAACAAGTGGAGTTGGGAAGAGAAAACAAACTGTTTTCAATTTCCGCGAGGAGAAGTATCCTGCAGGTGTAGCCTCGTAGACTCACCTGCTGTTTCCCTGCGTAAAGTTCCGTCTTCAGGCGATCACGTAAACGGAACAATGAGAGTTATTATCCAAATCCTCGCCTGTATGTTTGTCTACACCGCACTCGTGTAGACAAATCGCTGTGGTGACGGCGCACACACTGCGCAGAAAGAGAGGCTGAACTGAAGCTGATCTGTAGATCTGGGGCTCGGCAGCGACTCAGCTGCTGCCTCGCTTTAAAGCGGAAGTGTGCGGGCTCTATATCACCGCACCTTCAACATACACTGACTCCTCATCTCCACTTAAATACTGTTGTAAATATGTCCCTTTGTCTGAGGAGGTTGGAGGATAAGACTCTTTCTTTATGGCTTTAATTCAAATAAAATACGAAGTTGTAGGCCTATAGGAATATATAAATAATTAAATATGTTTATTAATCAATTACATCTCATTGTAACTAAGTTTTATTTAGTTAGAATATAGGTTTGATGTATTTTATTTACGTTTTTATTGATTTGGCAAGGTAGTGAGATATATATTTCATTATTTTTATTACCTTACATTTGATTTCTTCTATAATATTTGTTTACGTTTTTATTGTTTTATTTATGGGATCATTTCATTGGTTAAAACAATATGTATCTGTTAGCCAATTGTTCATTTTATATATTCTTTTTTTTATGGATGTATTTTTTATTAGTTCTTGTTGTTTTATTTTAATTTGGATATTAATCTTGATTTTTTTATTTAATGAAATGTTTCTTTAAAAAAAACGATGCAACATAGGGAAAAATCAATTAATACATACTGGTTTAGAAGTTGACAGTAAGGAAGACTGTGAGCGGTACATGTTTTACTGTTTTGACCACCTGCCTGTCCTTGAGTGAACTGAAGCAGCACAGTGGTTGGCTCCCTCTCCCTCCCCTGGTGGGACTAATGTCTCCATTACACATGTAGTGGTTTGTGGCCTGCCTAGACTGGCTCTCAGTTATGGGCTATTTTCTCACCATTGTATCCCAGAGGCAAGGAGAATGAGCTATTCCCCTAAAATGGCACACGCTGAAGAATCCTCGTTGTGAAAACACCTGTCCTGGAAATGGGAGGCTGTGAGTGAGAGACTGGAGGATGCTAAGAGGTGTGTTTATGTTTGACAGGCTGTAAATATAAACATATGTTCAACTAAGAAGAGAGAGACATAAACCACAAAGAGGCTGAACCTGACATTTTCCCTGGAACTAGAGTTCCCACTGGAGGGACCGATTACAAATTGACGGGAAAGTCATTAAGTACAGTAGAAATGATAGAGGACGTGTCTCAACAGGGGGGAAAAACCCTCCATCTGATCCATTTGTCTAGTTTAAACAGGCAGAATGGCTCCCTGGGCCAGTCTCAGCAGATTAGCATAGAGGTTCTTAGGCAGAACTCCTTAAGACTATCAGGTTAATTATGAGACTGAGCTTTCTTAGAGCTGCTGAGGATCACGCTATGTGATTTCCAACTCTGACTAATCCAGATTAAATGTTTTCCCTGGCAAGTAAGATTCAACTTGGGTCACAGGGTTCAAATATCGTCATGCAGGTTTCCAGGTCAAGACAGAAGCAACGTTTAACATCTTAGCCACGCGACCTTAAGGAGACGGTGTCAAAGTACGTAAATTGTTCCAAACCATGACATTTTTCTGCACGCATTCAGTGTGCCCATAAAATGTGTCCCAGTTATTTTGGGGAAATTGCCTATTTTACTTAGCACCATATGCTCCATATTTTAACGATTTGCCAACTAAATGCCTGCAAAGATGAATCACATTCCCCTCAGCTATACCTTGTGATTAGTGCTTTTAGACAAATGTCAGTATGCTAACACGCTGAACTGAGATGTTAAACATACCCTACCTAGTACAGTAAGCATCTGCTTGTCAGCATTGTCACTGTAAACGTGTTAGCATACTGATGTTAGCATTGAGCTCAAGGCAGCTCTGTTTACAGTAGGCCCACAGAGCTCTCACACCTATCCTTTGGCAAAACAAATAAACAATTTTAAGTTATTTTGGAGTCTAGGTCAGTTCAATGACAGCTTACACCAATGGGGAAAACTGCATCCTCACACTTAGTAACTTTATCTAAGATGTATAGGCTGTTTACATTTTAGCTCGAAATGGTAACCTTCACTGACCTTTCTTCGGGTTTGGTTCAACTGTTTGTATAGGCTACTTTGTATGTGAACAATGTTTTTAAATGTCAGCTTTAAGCCTTGCAGCAGTGCCAGTTTGATAATGGAAGTCAAAAATACTAAACTGAAGAATGAATATAGCCAGATGTATTACACCTTTCCAAAGCAAGCGTCAGTGCCAGCATGAGGGGTCTGAAACAAAGAACTGTCAAACCGTTGACGCGCAGGCCATATGACTGCTCTTTCTGGTGCGTCCTACCTCAGGTGGCTTGACCCAGTTTAGCCTGCGTGCCCCCCCCCCCCCTCCCCCTCAGTGACACACTGTAATTTGTGGTACAAGGAAATTATTGGAGCAGGGAGGCCTGGGAGACTCAGTCAATTAGGAGGGGATCCACCTGTCTTTTGGGGGCAGAGCCAACTGTAAACCGACACCTTACAATTCCTAAAAAAGTCGTTGCTCTTCGCGAGGCTGCACATCCATGTTTCAGATGTTGTTTTTCAAAAAAGTGTTCATTTAAATCTACAACGATGGGTGAGAAGTGTGTACTCGAGGCAGATGGACAGAGCATCCGGACCGCTGCGTCTTGCTCGCCATCTGTTCCACCTGGCGAGCAAAACATCTACCGAGTACGGCGGCTTAATGTCATGTAATGTGATTGGCTACAGTTCAGAGGCAGTAGAGGCAGAAATCAGTGATACAAATCAACAAAGAGTAGATGAGGAAGAACGACACAGACAGACATTTCAGGGAGGAAAAAGAGTTTGTTCTTATAACATATTTATTTATATTCTCATATACTTTTTACATATTTATTCATCATAATAACATGTATCTGGAGCAGAGGGGGAAATGGAGTAAGGATGGAGGAAGTGCATGTTGAAGGAATGTCACGTTCATATTTTTTAAATCCCATTTAATTACAAGAGCATTATGAACTCACTCAATGATATTCACAGTCCCATCAAACAAGCTACAACAAAGATTTCCTAAAATATAGGCTGACATATAAAACTAGCATTTTTTTTAAACACTGTAGTGGAGGATGGGGGATATCTAGGATGACCGAGCACTGTAACTAGACCTGTGAAAGGTAGGCGTGTATGGAAAACACACCGAGTAAGGTGTACAACACACACGCATACACAACTTACACACAACAGTTTCTACACAGTCATCATGCTTCAACCGGACCTCATGTTAGTCCTTTTTTTTTCTATTTCGGCATCATATTATTAGAAATAACAACCACAAGTGGGGTCAAAAACTGCAGGAGACAGATTCCTTTAAAAAAAAAAAAAAAAAAGAAGAAATGCAAGAAAAATGTTCAACAAAGGGGATTAACATTCTAATAAAAGGAGATCTATATTCTTCGAGCCACACTGAAAAATCATGAAAGAGTTCAGACTCTTGGGCCAAAACGTCTCTGAAACACCGGGCAGAGCATTAGCATTTCCATCCCATGGGTCTGTGACAGCCTTCACAGCGAAGTTGCCTTCTCCTCTCTAGACTACAAAGCCCATTTTTCAACACGGTGTAAACAGAAACCCTTGGAGAGTGCACTGCTCACTAACTGGAGTCCATCCAGGGGGAAATACTGGCTGCGGCAGGCCGGGGTCAAACACAAACCTGACTGTTAACAATCCATGCAATCAGGTCAACTTTGTTAATTTTCTCAAACTCTTCAAAAGGGCGATGTTGGTAGTTTATGGCTCAATATTGATGATTGTATTGGCTGTAGACACTTGTTCAAATGTGCATAAATCACTTAAAAAAGGCAAAAGTAAGCTAATCAAACCTATAGACCTTGTCATTTTTGATTGGCTGACAGTGATAAGGCAGCTGAATAAAGGAACGAAAGTTAAACTTATAATACAGGAACAGAAAAGGGTCTTTGGTGTTTCTTGTACTGAGGAATAATGATGACAAAGAATAAAAAAACTGCAGTTTCTCTGATGCCCAGTTAAATTCCAAGAGGAAAACCTGTCTTGTGGTTAACGTCTAAAACCAGGTACGCAATACAAGGAATCCAACGTTTAAAAATAATTGCATGACTTTACTTCATCCACAGGTTTGAAGAAATCCTGCACAGTGCAAATAATAAATGCCCCCGATATTGATTACAAGTAAAGTATTTTTCATGAGTTGTGCAACAGTATCATGCATCAGATCACGTAACGTGAGACAACACAGGGGGGCTGAACCTGGACTCCATCCGTCCTGAAAGTTGGTCCTGGAATATGCATATTGTCAAATAAGTCCTGCAGATGTCACACTTCATCATATATTTCTTGGGTCATTTCAATAACATCTATACAATTAATAACCACTTCGCTCTCACAGAACACTCATAGATTGGAGAAGAGTGGGGAGGGGGAGGGGATAGTCAGTGGAGAACAGCGTGTGTGTTTCCAGGTAAATGACCTTCCAGGTTCACTTCACTTATATACTGTGATAATAGCACCACTCCAACAGATAACACTGCGTTGCTACGAATATGAGGAACCACAGAGGGGAACAGTGAGGGGGGGGGGGCAACACTGTCAGAAGGAGATTCCTCATACAGTAGGTGATGAAGTGCTGGCCGGGCTAATTTTCCCAAGACTGATGGACACGATGCAGGGCTCGACCTCGATTTACAATTTCCCTCAGTAAGAGGAGGGGCCTTTTTGATGAGAGGATGTTTTTCCTTATGGCCAAATCTGTTTTTTGGGGAGGTGGGTTTATGTGGATTGGTCCTTCTGCAGAGCGGAGATGTCGAGAGGAGGAGGGGCCCGCCCACTCCACTCCTTCAGCTGCCCGTCCTTGAAGATGAGGTTGAGGGCGGGCAGGGGGACGCCGGACTCGGCCGGGGGCTGACTGAGAGGGTTCGACACGCCGCTGTCCATGTCAGAGGGCTGGATGCTGTCCTGCTGACACAGGGCACAGTGGATCAGGACAACCAGGAACACAAGAGTCGTTACTCTGGGACGAAAAAGTTGCTAAAGGCAAAGTAGAATGGTTCCTGTTTGATTATACTGTGGCTTTTCTTTCAAAAACATCTTACTAATCTTGTGGTTAAAGATTTGTAGGTAAAATATGCAAAAGGTCAAAGAGGAACAGATACATCAGGTAGACACATTCACATTCACCCTTCCCTTATATTGTCTTTTTAGTTTTAAAGGGGCCCTATTATACTGTTTTTTATCAATATATTGTCTCAAACTGACGATAAATGTCTCTGAAGTGTTTGTCTCGAAATACCAAACAGATCATTGCAGCATCCCATAATCCCCTCTGTTTCAAACGAGCTGATTCTCTGTCTGTTACTTTAGATGAAAATAAGGAGGGGGGGGGGGGGGTTACCTTGGATGGTGATTGGCTAATGGTTACACAAGCCAAATCCCTCGTTATGACATCATAAAGTGGCCAAAATCTGATCAGCTCATTTTCAGAAAGGTTTTTATATAAATGGATCAGGACAAAAAGAGAGAGAATCTTTTTTCCTGAAACTTTCAGAATCTCTTTCCACAGAGGGGACACATGTTTATGTATTAAAGGCAAGGAAACGTGGATGTTGCATAATACTGTAGGTGACCTTTAAATATCTTATGTTAAGGAAACACATATCCATGGTTTAAGGATACATTTTGACTGTAAGCCCTGGGGGGGGGTTTCTTACCTCTTCTGCACATCTGTGTTGTGTTAGTTTGTTATTATCACTTCCTGTGTTCTTTTCAACTAAACTTCCTACTAAATTGTTAGGATTTAATGTTCCTTTCTGCTTAATATTTATTTTCTCTCTATAGTCTCCTAATACATTCTCTCCAAGAGTGAAAACAACCCAAATGATTTGCAAACCAAAATAATACTTCACCTTTATCTCAACCCGGCTCTCACATCCTCCACCCTGTGTGGCTGCACTCAGAGAGTGAACTATGGTCATTTTATTGCATTTTCCGCTCCAATTTCCAGGACACTGCATGTGTAATAAACACTACCTTTCTGTTTGGTATGTCCATGTGTTGTCTTTCATCTTTTCTAAAAATAATTACAATAAAAAGCCAAGGTTTCTTTACAATATTTACCCTCACTTAGAAGTATTTTTTCATACTGGATGTAGGTCCTCTCAGGAAAAAAAAAAAAAGAAGATTGGTTTGGCAAATGTATAGAATCAAAAACTCTTCTTAAAAAAAGATTGATGGTAAAGAATAGCACATGGTATTATCCAACCAGTACTCATTCAACACAGAAGGTTTGATAAAAGAGCCGCCAGGCAGTTATTTTAAAGGTCACCTATTATTATTAAGACAATCACCAACCAAGGTAACCCCCCCCCCACCTTATCACCTGAATCTCCTCCTAGAACACCATTGAGTTTTTTTCAACCAATCATCTCTCAGAGGGGCGTGGCCAGCAGCAGCTCATTAGCATTTAAAGCTACAGACACAGAATCAGCACTTTTGAAACAGGGCTGAAACAGAGGGGATTATGGGATGCTGCAATGATCTATTTGGTATTTCAGCCAAACACTTCAGAGACATGTTTTGTATATATCTGAGACCTGTAATATAATGTTGAAAAACAGTATAATAGGGGACCTTTAATCCTATTGCATCAAAATAGTGTCTTAATCATCTCATTATCTCGAGATTGAAGATGCAATATTTATTTGTGTAGACGGTTATTACAAAGATTTAATTATGTGGTTTTCTAATGTGATAACACAATCATGATTGTTGCACTTTTAGTTTTCCACGTTTTTTTAAATCCTTCTCTCTCACAATACCGCACAATGTTGTTTCTAAAGCAGATTAAAGATTAAATAGGATAAAAGTATGAATTATTAATCCGTTTTGAATCTTGATTAACTCTAAGTATTCTCAAGAGTGAACCTGTAGAGTGAGTGTTTTTACCTGGAATGACTGAACGAAGTTCAACACCTTCAGCGATAGCTTTCGGCTCGAGTAAAGGAGCTCTTGAAGGCTGGAACAACAACAAAGTCACAACACAGGTCCTTACACCTTTTTCAAAGTTTTAAACAAAAGTGAAATCTTTGAGGATGCTGGGTGTTTTATTTTTTTGTACCTTTCGCTGCTGCACAGTTTGTGCGAGGCGATTTTTCGACACACTTTGCGGTTTAGCTCGGAGCTGAAGAGGGGCATGCCGAAGCACAGCTCAAGAGGAACCCACTCATCTTCAGAGGAAAGGCCTGAAGGAAAAGAGACAAGGAGAGGAGGGATGGTGAGGACACACTTTACTACTTAAGACACAAGACATTAGCATAGAAAGGCTCATTTTCACTGTCTCCCCTAACCCTTGATCAAGTCATTTGAAGGTTAACGAATAGGAAAGAAGCATATCAAAAAGGAACAATTCACCTCAAAATCAAAAATGCGTTTTTTCAATCTGGATAGGTTTGTTGTAAGTGTTTGAGACATTTCTGTATTCTTTTAAATATAATGGAACTAGCCGTTTGCATTGTGATACCGTTTTCAGATGTTGTTCGGTATAAACATGAGTTCCTACTTTAAACTGCTAACAATAACACAACCTGATTGTAAGGGAAACTTCTGCAGCAATGGAGAGTTAGGACTCAGAGAGACACGAGGAGAGTTGGAGCTTTGATGTCAAACAATGATGTTTATTACAAGTCAACGGCCGGAGAATTCATATCACAAGTCACAGCAGCAAAAGGTTCTGACTGCACGGGTGGGTTGTCATGTCAATTCTGACCAGCCTATCTCTCGATAGACCCTTTAACTATTTTACAGAGAGTTAATGAGCATATTGGGGCGTTAACACCTGGAGACACTGAATCACTTATCTGACTCTTAGGCTCTGTGACCGAGAGTTGATCGGTCATAAAACTGGTAATGTCAACAATAGCTGAGACTTCTCATTCCTTAAGACAGATAAAAAACTTAGGGTTGGTCGTAAACGTCAACACACAGAAAAGGTTAGACTCCTAGGAGTAAGACAAAATTAATCCCTAACACTGATTATCTTGAGAAACCAGGTGATGATTTCTGAAGAGACATTGCTGATGAGTTGTGTGCACCATAAGCCGAGTGACCTTTCTTTTCATTATATTTCAGAGAAAGCAGAATTCTCTAATGCCAGTAGGACAACACACCAAATTAGCCTTTATTTATAAAAAGCACTAGGGGTGAATTGTCCCTTTAACCAAAGAAGTAGCCTTACTCTCTGTCTTTGCTGCTTTGGTTTCCCCGTTGTTTTCTTCTGTCACAAGCTCAAATGACTCAGTACTGCCATTGTTGTCCAGGCCCCCCCCCAGATGAGTTTCCCCTTAAAGAAGGCAACAACTCTCCATCAGCATTAAGACACAGAAAGGTTGTTTCACAGCTGGATCACAGACCTTTAATTAAGAATCTACTTAAAAAAACAAGTTTGATTCAATCAATTTTGCTGAATACATTTGAGAGGTCAATTAAAATAAAATGTCTGAATATCTACGTTAAAAAGAACATGTGTTTCAATTATGTCAGCAGCATTTAAAGCAGTGAATCTCAAGGTAAAGGCTAATGCTGTTCGATCCGTGTCCATTAGCAAAGGCTATCACAATAAGGGACACATTATGCAGCAAACAGGATAATTAAACTGGACTGTGGGCTTAATCCAATTTGCACTATCAGTGTTAATGGCCGCTGAGGCAAAGACATGGTTACTAATTCAACTCTATGTCTCTAACATACAAACATCTGCAACAAAAAAAGAGTGTGTCTTACCTCTGCACTCATTGCCTTCGCTGGGTCTGCGGCGGTGCCGGTTGTTGGCGTTGAGCATGGTGACGTAGCCACACTGGTGCTCCAGGTCCACGTTCTCCTTCAGCTTCTGCAGTGCCTTGTGCACACACATGTTGGAGTGGGAGAAGCCTGCGCAGGGAGGAGAGACAACACAAACAACGGAAGTGAAGCTCACTCCAACAAGACGCCATATAAACTTATATTAATATCTGTTCAGCATGGCATCCATATCAATTCTGTTTCTGCAGAGGAAGTAATATTGTCACAGCAAATGTATTAAGGGGATCAGTGTTAGTGTTAAGCCTCACACACAAAATCACAAGAGAATGATTTGAGAGGATTCCAATCCTTTTAATGATGTTTGACGTGTTTAAACCCGTAAGCCCAAAAACAGAATATTTGAGGAACCAGAGAAAGTTGAATAGCTTGACTCATGTTATGTTAATTATGTATACGCAACATGACAGTGACAGGACACTCATATTGCAATATGACTTGTTCATTATTTAATGCATGATTTTGAAGAGGACCAGTGTGGCTTTTTACCTTCATGAACTCAAGGTTAATAGAAGTGGAAAGCAAATGTTGAAGTCTGCTATTTCTTGCTACGTTAGATAATACTGATCTTTGTTCTGTGGTTTTAAGTCTTTATTGAGATATGAAAATATTAATGTGAACAAAAATGTGGTGTCAATAACTTGTATTGTAAACAATTAAAACTGTGCCATATTCAGTTTATCAGATGTTTGCTTCTGCTAAAATTATTTCATGAGAAAATAAATGTAGCTTTAAGCCTTGCTCTGGATTACTTTAATTAAATTATTCTTGTAATAACACAAATGAAAGGGGCCGTATTAAGCTAATTTTCAGAGTTCCTATCTGTATTTTGTGCCTCTACTGTAACATGTTTTCGAGATCAAATGCACACTACAGGGAATGGAAACACCAAAAAACACCTCTTTTACGAGTGTATCATTTAAAAGATTTATCCACGGATAAAAACTCACCTCCTTCCAGATCGTCTGCATCAAAGGGGAACGGGATGTGAACGGTTTCTCCGTGGCCGTGCATTCCGTGACCCTGAGGGTAACACACACACACACACACACACACACACACACACACACACACACACACACACACACACACACACACACACACACACACATATATATATCCACACAGTGGCACCACATGTGAAAACACGTAAGGGGAAGTTACATAACATGAGATGATGCAATCAAATTCAAGCAATTAAGAGAAAAACAACCTCAATGTTAAAGTGGAGCTCATTTACAGTATGTGTGTTTACCTGGATTAGTACAGCAGAGTGTGTGAGCGCGTCGTTGAGCATGGTCAGCACGTTGGATGTTGGCACGACTCCGGGGTCGTGACCCCAGGAGGTGATCAACAACCTGTCGTAGGTCTGGACAGAAACAGAATGTGGGTCAAGGAAAGGACTCACAGCTGCTAATCCCTGAAACCATGAGACTGCGGTGCCTCAACGGCATCATGGGAGAACAACAGGTCATTATGTACCGTACTAAGCAATGATAAGAATAATGGTATTCATATAATGAGGAACTCAACACAAGTGGAATGTAACAGTACCTCTAGACTCAAATAACATGAAAAGGTTTCTTCATGTATAATCTCAGTCAAAAACAAATCTTATTGAGGAATTATTTGTATTCTGTTTACTGACATGTCAAGTTGGCCCATAAAGTGGCAATTTGCATGATATAACCTGCTCTTCTGGGAAAAAAATTCTCTTTCGTTCACTGTCTCGCATTCCACGGATAGTTACAACATTCCAGTAGTATCAGGGAAGCCTTTGATGCGGGAAATGCAGGTGCACAGTGTGATATGAATGTGATTCTGATGCGCAGAGTTATAAATGAAGGTAGAAGGAGATAAAGGAAAATGTACCTCCAGTGCTCTGATTACAAACTGAGCGACAAGGTCAACACTTGAAAGGGCAGGAGTCAAAGACGAGTGAAAAAGTGTGCAGTCACATCTTGATCGGGCTCAAAAAATTTGTTTTTCTTATTACATCGTGCGGGGCTTTTCTTATTCGGCTTCAAAAATATTTCTTAAGCTTGTACAGAATCTTTATCAGCATACGTTTACTTACTCAACTGTGCACTTATCTGATTAATTATTAGTATGTGCTAACCTGGAAAATGTCTGGCAGTTTGCGGAGTCTGGAGCCTTTGGAGAGCAGCAGAGAGGGCGGGCCCTGGCCGGTCACATGATACAGGTATAACTTGAACCAGATGGAGCTCACCTCAGGGATAGCCGGGCCAATATGCTGTGGGTACAAACACACATTAATGCTTTTTCCATTGAATTTCTTACATGAACACACACTTAAAGTGAAGGTAAGTAACAGAGACAAAGGAGAGTAATTGTGTTTTCTGTGGAAGAAGCTGAAATTGAAGCTGCCATTGTTGAACCAAGCAGAAAACAAAGCAACAAATTCATTGAATTCCACTTCACTGACTCCCAGCAGTGTGCGAATAAAGAGCAGCGTGAATGGCACAACAAGAGTTTAACTTCTTTCCTTCTGTCTCTGGGCTCAGCGAGAAAGCTGGATTGAAGCCAGGCAGAGGAATTACTCATGAGCCTTTCTCCCTTCCTTCCTCCCTCTCTTTGTATAGCCTTGTTGTTGGGGGCAACTGCAGACTGAGTGCACCCACACACACACACACACGGCAACAGATCACTCAAGTGTGTACACATACAAACTACCACACATGCACAAACTGTCTCACAACTCTCCAACGGTCATCATTTGATCCCATGGTGACACAGTATCCCCTCCTCTTCTCTCCCCCCCCCCCGCTCCCTCCAGGAGTCGTACCTGAGGCGTGCAGCTGCTGATGGGTCTGATCTCATTGCTGAGCGGCGCCATGGAGACCAGCAGCTTGTAGTTCTTGTTGAGGACCCGGCTGCAGGTGGCCTGGTCCAGACCCAGCAGGCTCTCACAGCGCAACATGTCCAAGGGGAAACCTGGAGGGGACAAACCAGGCTCAATTTCAACTTCTATACCAAACAAGCTGAGATCTTACTGTGAGTCATCGGGCTGAATGCATGTAGTTTGAGTTGTTGGGTGTTTTGTGAAGTTACTTCATGGATGGTAGAAGAATAGAAGAGAGTAAAGAATGAATTGCCAACTGTTACCCCCGTTTCCAGTATTTATGCAAAGCTAAGCTAACTAGCTGCTGGTTGTTATCTTTTACTGTACTTACTATTCCTTTAAAACAGGGATAACCAAACTATCTATACGCCATGGCTTGAGCATACAGTATTATTTGCACTGAAAGTAAACTGCACATCCAAGTTTAAGCACAAGATGTCAACTAGATTTAGTGAAATTGTTTTTATTTCAACATCTTGGCTATGAAACCAATATTTTACCCGACCTGCCATTTCTGTTTGTTACATCTAAATATTAGAGTTACAGATTTACATCTTACATTTTCATTGCAGTGTTTCAAGTTGGTGCTTAGGCTTGGAACATAAACCAGTATTTGTCATTTTCAGCAGGTTTTATCTTTCCCTGTTTTCAGATTTACACACATCATAATATTTGTAGGCTTTCATATTCCTAAGTTAAGAGAAGCAGACATAGAAATACTGTTTGTAATATGTGAGTGCATCCATGAAATACAGTAATGTCAAACATTAAACAGGTTAGAACTTAGAAGTGGTGAATTTTCTTTTTCGGTGGCACAATTTCTGCTCTAGAAACGTTTAATTCTTTGCTTTGTAACTAGTTGTAAAATACGCATTTACTATTGTTTGACCTGTTGATAAAAAGCCTTTACTTTAAAGCCTCCCCAGCTTTAAAGTAAAAAAAGCGTACAGAAGCAATGAGTGCAAATAAGGATCCTGTAAATCATTCTACCAAGTGTAGATGCATCAAACAGCAACTGGGTTGAAGAACTTCATCCAGAGAGCCCAGTAAAGATTATTTATTTATAACAGTGGCGTCAAGGGAGTCTTCTCTCCAAAGAGACGCTTGTAAGAAAGTCCTCCCAAAAGGAGAAAGTGTCAACCTGGCCTTCTTTGATTTCATAATCAACCTTTGCAGGCTAGATATAAGTCTAAGAGGTGTCTATTAAGTGCTAAAGGTGATAATTAATGTTAAATCATAACCAGAGTTAAGCAGATGCAAATAACTAACTGAATCTCAGACACAGCGTAGAGTAAAACAGATAAGAGCCATTCACAATGAGGCTGCTGCTTCACATTGTATTGTCTAAGGTTTGGATCTTGATTTTTGCAATCTGATAATCATTTATTATTTATTCTCATTATAATTTGTATCATTGTGGGCTTCACCCAGCGGGCTCTCAGTGTGCTTGCTCCCCAGCAGACGTCTCGAGCAGCAGCTGAGGACGACTGAGAGATAAGGCAATCAGAAGAGAGGCACGCTGCCAAAGCAAACAAACAGCATCTGGTGTCGCAACCGTTGTTACAGGGAAGCTCAGTTAGCTTGGTCCTCTCCGACTCCCCCTACAGACTCCAGGAGAACAAAACAGCTTCACTCTGGATGGACAGGCCTTTAACAATATTTAGGAGAGACTTGAATAAAATATGGTCATATATTCAAGTTTGGAACAGGTGAGGGGGGAGGGCAGATACAGCAGAGACAAGTTTTGACACAAGTTTGCCAAAAGTAGAACAAATAGAAGATCCACTTCCTCTTCATTGCTTCCAAAAAGGTTTACAGTCTTAGGCAAAACCTTCACATAAAAATATCTTTCATTGCTTGTGATTTATTATTGAAAACCACAGATTTAGTAAGAATGGAGAAACCAGCTCGAGTGCGCTAGAATTTGAAAATACACAACCGGAAAAAATCTGCTACTTCCTTCCGACTTCCTTACAGAGCCCCTCCTCCAACACACACGAACCCGCACATGACCAATGAGGGCACGAGATAAGTTTGTGCACAGATGGAAAGCTGACAGGCAGGTAGGCCATCCAGTTATTTTAGCCGGGCCGGTGAAAATGATTGGTCGTGCTTTTTACAGCGCTACGGCTTCCACAGATGACATGTTTTAATGTATTTATTGTCAAAGCAATTAATGTATTCATTGCTTTCAGGATGTTAAGAGCATTCCATGGAATATAAGAAAAAGTGTTTCTGAAGTCAATTACCTACCCCACCTTTAAGTAGTTGAATAAGATTAATTTACAGCAGTTGTTTGCCTCCATTGTGTTCATGATAACTCAAAATATGTAATAATATAATTATTATTAGAGTAGAGTCAAGGTGTAAATTGGAAAAGAGTGTCATACAGCTGATGATTGCTGATAATTATCGTCAGTTAACCCCCCACACATCATCCCTATACCCTGATATTTCCATGAGTGTTTTTTTATCCTGAATTTCACATTGTGATGAAGACTACTGGTACATATAAAAGAGTATAAATTCATTATAATGAGCCACTTAAGTCACCATCACGTTCACACTGCACGTTCCAGCTCTCACCTTACATTTCTGTCTGATTGAAACAACCAGTAATGAACTGGCTTCATTGATATCATTTATATATCAATTATTGGCAAAACAAACTAACAACACAGCAAGGAGGGAACTGTGTGCAGACAGCAGACAAAATTGAGTAAAAATACTCAAAACAACTCAGACCTCCAAGCTTCCTACTAACCACATGTATAGACAGGTATGGGAGAACAACACCTGCATGTGTTTACCCATAATGGGGAGGGCAGAGTAACTGTGTAATTACCTATATTAGGGATATCTGGTCCCTGGTCCTGAGTGAGTTCCTTGTTGTAGCGCAGGAAAAGGATGGTGTTCTTCAGGGTGAGAGCGTGGTCAAAGTAACGCTGAGCCTCGCCCTCTGCTGTGCTCTCCACCTGGAGACAGAGACACCACGAGATACATGTTTGTTTGAACCTCTGAGCATGTACATTGTGCTGTAATTTAGCATACTCTGGTGTTTATGATAGAGGCTTAACTAGATACACTAACAAGTATTTATTTGTCTTTGTTTCCAGTGCTGGTCTCACCTTCTCTAACTCAGCCAGGAAGCTGTCCAGAGTCTCATCGGACAGCTTTCCCACCTCGAACATGGTCACTGCATGACTCTTCAGGTTCTGATAGAGAAACAAATACATAGAGGAGTCAGGATGCACAGTCCACATCTAATTGGGATTAAATCGTCATGTCTCTATTCAGCTTTTTATCATGGAGAATCTGTGTGTTTTTTAGCGTCCACATTCAGTGACTGACCGGAGACAGGTTGCCCATCATGAGGAAGGCAGTGAGAGTGGAGTCAAACAGGAAGGCGATCCTCTTGGTGGGAGCAGCTGGGATGATTAAGCTGCTAACGCTTCCTGTTTCTGCTGCAGAGGCAAATAAAAAGCAGACATACGGTATACCAAATGCATAACTCAATGAATGAACATGAATATATGCAAAAGCACAACTACTTGGCAGTCCGATTCATACGCTGAGGATATGAGCTTATGATTTCATGTAAAATGTTCTGTGTTTTCAAGGTCCAACACAAACCGTGTCTCGTTTTAAAATAATGAAATTAGAACACATAAATGTTGACAGCCACTTTGATAATATCCAATTTGTTAGTCTCAGCAACACAAAACTGGCACCCTAATAGGCATAACAAAGTTGATATTAAACCACAAATAAAAACTTCTTGGAAAAACAACTACCGTAATAATGTGAGAATGAAATTCAGAAGCATAACTAAGCTTTCTCTGGGAATAATTAGCGCTGCTTCTTCAAAATTTCTGAAGCAATATTAAGAAAAGAGTGCGTGTGCGTGTGTGTGTGTGTGTGTGTGTGTGTGTGTGTGTGTGTGTGTGTGTGTGTGTGTGTGTGTGTGTGTGTGTGTCTGTGCGTGTGTGTGTGTGGCCACTCAGACCTTCTTCCAGGCTGGTGGTGTCGGTGTCGGTGGCTGAGGAGCCCCCCTCCATCACAGGACTGCCCTGGTCCCAGGACAGCAGCATCTTCTGAGGGTCCACGGTGCTCCTGACAGAGGAGCGAGCCACAGGGATTAAAGAGAGCACCATCAACACAATCAAACCAAGTGCAGTAGTTTATTAAAACGTAATAAAAAAATTGAATATTAAGAGAAATCTAATTGTCCTAGAATAAGTCATTTTCTGCCACTTGGGGACTCTTTCAGAATTATAACAAAATCAGTTTTGCAGCAGCATGGGATCATGGGAGTTTGTCAATGCAGTGACCTTCACCGAGTTAGAATTGTTCAGGAGATTTTTACCGTAAGCCCTATTATCAGAAGATGTCTCCAATTATAATACTGAATAAAGCAGTCTCACTTTAAAAATCACTGTTTCTCTGACGCTGTTTGGCTGCCGTGTGCTCAGCTTGTTTCTCTGATATCTTCTATTAACTTGTATATTTAAAAATGTCGAAGATCTTAAAAGTGTAAAGTAAAAGTCTCGCTTAGAACTGGATAAAGAATTCCAGTTAAAGATTCTGGCAAACAAACACAACACTGGCGCATGCTCAGAGGCCACACGACGCCATTACAGAAGACCAAATGAAATGGGACCATTAACTTCTATTAAAATAGCTGATTTGTCTCCAACTCAACAATATGTAAAACATGGCCCTATTTATTCTTAGACAATTAAATGCAAAAGTTACTTTGAAGCTGACAATTGAGCAGCCCGACCAAGCAAGGAGGCAGAGGCAGAACGTCCAAAATTATAAAGCGGTGTGGGGATTTATTAAAATCATGTGCACATAGTTCACCGCCTCAATCCTGCTGTTCTCCCTGAACACATCCTGCAGCCACAAGGATCTCACACATACTGACAGGAAAAACAGAACCTAAATACACCCAGACCAATCAAACCAACAAGACACAGGTGAGGGGGGGAGGAGCCAACACAGGGCACCAGGTGCACACAATCCAGCAACAGACATAACGGGAGGGGGAACACTTTTCAAACACAAACATATAACTGAACAGAATACACACATACAAACCCAACTAAACGCAGTCAGCACTTGAACAATGAATGCCACTTAACGCTATGATTTCTACACCCTCACATATTATTTGCACCTGGATTATTCTTAACCGCTGTCATTCTACACCAGCATAAGCACTTTCGGCGCTCTCGCTAACTCCCCTATCTTGTCAGGCGGAGCCGAGGACCCGACCAGCACCTGCCAGACGACATTTCAATTAATACGGTTTAATCCTTTAATAAATACTATCTCAATAATTAGTATAAATTATATAAAATGTGCAAATATGATGCCATGCCAAACGGTACTGTGCAATCACGCTAATAAAGTGCAAAACTGTTCACTAAAGTGAGTTACCAGGCCCGAGCCGTCAGTCCACAGTGACAAAGTTACCTTCGTCACAGTTACAATATCCTACTTTTTAAGGATGTTCTAGGTGGATGAAGGTGCAGGGCACAAACCATACCATGTGGGTTTGTGCCAGCAGAACAATGGGAGCTATCTACCCTACCCACAATTTAAAGTAATTCACACAGACCTATCTCCTCTCGTTACTCTTCTCCCTGTGTGAGAGCAGCAGGTTCAGCTGGTCAGAAGACTAAAGTGAAAAACAACACAATGCATAAAATATTGTTAATAGATGTCGGGTAGTAATAGATGTATTTATTTTCTTCTCAAGAGTGTACAGAATGCGTTGTTATATGTTAGTATTTCTAAAAAATCTCCTGGGAGATAATCCCCCCCAGACGGTTGCGGTTGGGTTTTCAGCATGTGTGCCTTTTATATGTTATACCAGTTCATCTTTGATTCCATCATCTCATTAAACCTTTTTTAAAAGCATACCTTTAGTGTCTGTGAAGGGAATATACGCACTGTACTTCGCTTTTAATTATAATATTGTTGTGTGTTGGCTTCGTATGCTGAAAAGCGTATATAATATATAATTACAGCACGATATTTTTGTTGAATAGAATTTTGAGTGGTTAAAAACACGATTTATTGACAAAGGAAAAAGTTTGTTCTCAAAAGGCCTGACCAGTTGAGAACCACTGGTTTAGAGTGTCTGTCTGTACATACTGAATCTGTTGGAGGACGCAGCGTCTTCCAGGAGGGGTGAGCTGGTTCTGCGCTGATTACATGACCTTTCTTTCACAGCAAAAGCGAGGCGCAGTACATGGACTGCATTCTGATAAAACATTAATAAAACAAAAATCAAAAGTTGTTTGACCACAAAAATCTGATTCTCTTTCACCGTAAAACGTCATCTTACTATCATCAACTCCAATTCTCCTTGACTTTTACTCATGTGGAAATGTATACATTAATTATACAGCTTTTAAAAATAAAGTACTTCAAGAAATCAAGCCAAAAATGTGAGAATCTTGAAACCTTTCTCCTCACAAAAAGATGGGACAAACTTCTGTGTACTTTAGTGAGGATAGACAATAAGCATTGGGAAATGGAAAGGCGAATAAACTAAGTGGATCGCACCACTTTACTCACAGTATGGTTTTTCGAGACGATGCGGTGGCGAACATTTTTTAGCTTTCCTTTAAAATAGCTGTCTTCCTGGGTATGATTGTTGTGGAAACAGTCTGCAAGAATGAAAGAACATTGTTTTTTGTCCACTAGGTCGG